TTTTTTTTTGAGACAAAGTCTCACTGTCACCCTGGGTAGAGTGCCCCGGTGTCAGACTACCTCATAGCAACCTCAAATTCCTAGGCTCAAGAGATCCTCTTGATTGAGCCTCCTGAATAGCTGGAACTACAGTGACCTGTTACCACACCTGGCTTGCTTTTTAACTCTATAAAAATTTTTATTTTTTTTGAGACAAGAGTCTCACTCTGTTGTCCTGGGTAGAATACCATGGTGTCACAGCTCACAGCAACCTCAAATTCTTAGGTACAAGCAATCCTCATCTCAGCCTCCCCAGTAGCTGGCACCTGCCATAATGCCTGGCCAGTTTTTCTATTTTTAGTGCAGATGGAGTTTCACTCTTGCTCAGACTGGTCTCAAACTCGTGAGCTCAAGCAATTTACCCACCTTGGCCTCCCAGAGCGCTGGGAAAGTGGCCAGGTGGCAACTTTCTTTTCCAAAAGTAGTCATGCTGCAAATGTTCTTCTGGAGGAACAAAGGACAGTGACTGCTCAATGGTACACAGTGGCATGCCTACCAAAAGTTTTCAGGAAGTTTCAAGAATAGCAGCCAAGGACAAGACTGAGGGGGACAATCTTGTATAATTGACAACGTGTCCACTCACACAGCCAACATCACCATTCAGTTCCTGGAGTGCATAGAAGTTAAACTTATGACTCATCCACCATACAGTCCTGACATGATTATTTCCTGGTGCCTAGAATAAAAAAATCACACGTGCAGAAGGTTCTCTGGCCCTGAAGAAGCTGTTTAAACTTATAAAAGTGAGCTTACAGCAAATGAAGAAAATTTGTGGAAAGGAGTTGGGCGCGGTGGCTCACACCTGTAATCCTAGCACTTGGGAGTCCAAGGGGGGTGGAATGCCTGAGCTCACAGGTTTGAGACCAGCCTGAGTCAGAGTGAGACCTCATCTCTAAAAATGGCTGGGCATTGTGGTGGGTACCAATAGTAGCCCAAGCCCCAGCTACTTGGGAGGCTGAGGCAAGAGAACTATGTGAGCCCAAGAGGTTGCTGTGAACTATGATGCCAGAGCACTCTACCAAGGGTGACAAAGTGAGACTCTGTCTCCAAACAAACAAACAAACAAACAAACAAATGGGTTTACAAGAATGCAAAATGCATAGAATGTTGTGGCCAACATTTTGAGAAAAATGCAGTAATCAAAATGATTTCACATGTCTTGATTTTTGTGTATCTCAAAACTTTCACAGTGTCTCTCCTACTTGCTAACATTTGAATGACCACTACGATATGAAAACTAGAAAACTGTAATTGGACTGTTACCTGGTAACTGAAGTAAGTATTTATAGGGTTCTAGAAGAATTCTTTGGACTGTTTCTTGAGTCTTCTCCATTGTTTTCAAATTTCAAAGTTGATCTGTCAAAAAGAAGAAACAAAAAGTACCTTAAGAACTTAATTATCTTTGAGTGTCAAACTGCAGAAGAATTTGTACCTCATGGTGTATTTGAAAAGGCAGACTTATATTCTGGTTTAAAAAGAAAATTCTACAGGTGTGAAGGCTGAACACATTACTGTGTATGCTGAGTGAAAGAAGCCAGTCACGAAAGATCCCATATTGTATTATTCCATTTATATGAAATGTTCAGAATAGGCCAATCTGTAGAGACAGAAAGTAGATTAGTGGTTGCCAGCATGGAGGAAGGGGGGGGGGTGACTGTTATTGAGTACAGGGTTTCCTTCTGATAGATCAAAATGTTATTAAATTGTGGCAATGTTTGCACAACCTTGTAAAGATACTAAGAACCACTGAACTGTACAACTTAAATGGGTGATAATTAAATTATATCTCATTTTTTCTTTATCTTTTCTAGACAGTCGTGTTTTGTTGCCCTCAGTAGAGTGTTGTACCATCACAGCTCACAGCAACTTCAAACTCTTGGGCTCAAGCGAGTCTCCTGCCTCAGCCTCCCAAGTAGCTGGGACTACAGGCGCCCGCCACAACGCCTGGCCATTTTTTGATTGCAGCCATCATTGTTGTTTGGCGGGCCCGGGCTGGGGATTCAAACCCGCCAGGTTAGGTGTATGTGGCTGGGGCCTTAGCCGCTTGAGCCACAGGTGCCGAGCCAGTCACTTGGTTTTTAAGTCGTCTTCTTAGTTACATAACTTATATTAAGCCACTCCTTTTTTAAGAGAAATGGGACTTACTCTGTCACCCAGGCTAAAGCGCAGTCGTGGGATCATAGCTCACTGTATCCTTGAACTCCTAAGCTCAAGTGATCCTTCTGCCTCAACCTTCCAGGTAAATGGGACTATAAGTATGTCCACGTTCCATGGAGCACTACTTTTACCAACCATAAGAGGCTTAATTTGTTAATAAAAAACAAATGTCAAAACAAATGCAGAGAATTAAAAAGATACTTTTATATTTTACGATTTAAATTAGTAAATATATTCTTTTTTCTATGAGCATTAAGATGAGTATGTTTTATATATTTAAGATTTAAAGGGATTCACCCTTCTTGGTATTTTCTTTACAATTAATCTATTTCAGAGATTTTTTCTTTTCTATTTTTAGTAGAGATGGGGGTCTTGCTCTTGCTTAGGCTGGTCTCAAACTCGTGAACTCAAGCAAGCCACCTGCCTCGGCCTCCCAGAGTGCTATGATTACAGGCATGAGCCACCGCACCTGGCTTATTTCAGAGATTCTGACTTAAGACATGAATTAACTTGAATGCAATTACAGTATTTTATTAAAAATATTTCTCTGTAATACCTTATTATTCTGAATTTTGCATTTATTTGATTATTTCCTAGAGTATCAGTTGTGGCAATACTAGGGTCTTCCTTTACTGCCGAATCTCTACTGTCTCTTTGTAAATTTGTTTTTATTTTATTTGTTCTCATACTAGGACTCTTCTTTATGGAATTGCTCCTGCATTTTTGGCACATTTTACGTTTACAACTTTTGTCCTTTGTGTGTGTGTGTGTGTGTGTGAGATAGGATCTCGCTCTGTTACCCAGGTTGTGGTTGCACAACCATAGCTCACTGCAGTCTTGAACTCTTGGGCTCACAGAATCCTCCCACCTCAGCCTCCAGAGCAGGTGGAACTACCAGCATGTGCTACCACACTTGACTATTTTTTTCCATTTTTTAATTTTAATTTTTTTTTTTTTTTAATTAAGACAGAGTCTCACTTTGTCATTCTGGGTAGAGTGCCGTGGCGTCAGCTCACAGCAACCTCAAACTCCTGGGCTCAAGCGATTCTGTTGCCTCAGCCTCCCTAGCAGCTGGGACTATAGGCGCCCACCACAGTGCCTGGCTTATTTTGTTTGTTTGTTTAGCTTGTCCAGGCCGGGTTCAAACCCAGGAGCCGCAGAACATGTGCACTGAGCCACAGGCACCCTCTTTTCCATTTTTTTAGAGAAGGAGTCTCCCTATATTGTCTCTGACTTCTGGCTTCAAGCAATCATCCCACCTGAGCTTCCCAAGTTGCTGGTTATTACAGGCGTGAGTCACTGCACCCAGTTCTTTAGTTCTCTTTCTTATGCTTCTTGAGATTATGACTTGCTCTAGGATCATGAGTCTTATCCTAACCAATTTTGTGCCTTCACTATAGATACAACAACCCAAGGGTAAAATAATATGGTATCTAAAGGCAGTTCATGATTAGTATTGTTCAAAGAGTTGTGCCCTATTAAATTTTTTACCTGGAAGTTACCTTAGAAAGTTCTCTCTCAGCATGCTAGAAGAAAACAAAGCTAAAGAATGTATCTGCCTGAGTGAGGGTCACATTTTTTTATCTTTTTGAGACACCACTGAAGGCAGTGGTGTCATTACAGCTCACTAAATCCTCAAACTGCTGGATCCTGCTGCCTCAGCCTCCCAAGAAGCTGCAGCTGCTGATGTGCACCATCACAACCCACTTTCTATTTTTTGTAAACATAAGATCTTGATGTGTTGCTCAGGCTAGTCTCAAAATCCTGGGCTCGAGTATGCCGGGTCTTCCAAAGCGCTGGAATTATAGGCATAAGCCACTGTGCCCAGCTGGCCACTTTCTAGGAATAAA